TGAATTTTGACAGAAGTCCTTGGAATTCTGCTTCAGTGTCATTTGTACAACTTGTTAGCTCACCTTCCCCTTAAAAATAGGTCTTTCCTTGTTGATAAACTGTAGTTGTGATTGATTAAACAGTTAGGCGTGAGCACAATGTCTCCATTGTCTACAGCAGGGGTCTTCAAACTATGGCCCTCCAGCTGTTGGAAGTACTACAAGTCCCAGCATGCCTCTGGGAGTCTTGCCTGTGGCTGTCAGAATCTTGCAAGGCTTAATGGGACTTGCAGTTCCTCAACACTTGGAGGGCCGTAGTTTGGAGACCCCTGGTCTACAGCATGGGTACTCGACCTGTGGCCCTTCAGCTGTTGCAAAACTACACGTCCTATTAGGCATTGCAAGGCTGACAAGGTTACAAGCATGACTTCCAAATGCAGGAGGCATGATAGGGCCACAGGTTGAGCACTTATGTTCTACAGCAGGGGTAGGCAGCCTTAAAGAGGTGGAGATCTACCTGAACAACATGGGTCACCGGACACAGTGTCAACCCTTACACCTACTTAAACCTCTAATTGTCATGCTACTGTGTTGCAATCGAGTGCACTGCACAGCAATCATGGATGTAAATCAGGTGAGTGAGGCGGCAGTATATTGCCCCATCACCTGTCAAACACACTCTGATCGCTTTTCAGAGGAGCAGCAGTGCCTGCTGCATTTGTGAATGAGCCTTTAGTTGCATTCAGCAGCGGCACCCTTGGGGCTGGCTTATACGTAAAGTTGGGGGGTGGTAACACCCTGCAGTTTTACCATCCCCCAATCCCTATCCTTTTTAGCTAAGGCAGCAGCCAAAGGTATACACATGCTGCAGCAGGAATTAAATCCCCCGTTGCTTTTGGTGGGAGCTATTGCCTGCCAATCTGACCCATTCAAGTAAGAGGGGTCACTCTGCAAATGTCCAACTGTATGCTTCTGCGGGGTCCAGGGGTTAAAGCAACACAACACTACCTGCTTTAACTCCTGGTTTGCTGTCCTACACAAGGATGCAGGGCACTTGTAGAGCGGCCTCATTCACTTGAATGGGTCATGCTTGACCGGTGCTACACCCAAACACCATGACAGGGAGTATAACTCCTGCTGCAGCAAGTGTACACCCCTTGCCATTGCAGCTAAAGGGGGTGCAGTTGGGGTGGACATGGAAAAAACCATGTCTTAACTATGGGGTTTACCACCTTCCAAATTGCAAATGCACATGAGCCCTTATTGTTCTGAGCCCCCTAGAAGGCTGCTTTCACACTGATGTGCTGTGGTTTATCTGCACCATGGGTGCAGCGCAGTGCATCCGTGAGTTTTCTGGGTTAGCCATGCTTTGCCATAGATCCCTATTATATCCTGCACGTGTGGTGCACTTTCTGAAAGCGCACCAACACTCTTGCTTTCAGGAGTTCACCAAACCCGCAGGAAAGCTGCAGGTACACTGCGCTGCACCCGTAGTGTGGGTAACCCTCAACACATTAGTGTGAAAGAAGCTATATTCCATTATGCCCAGTGTATTGCTTCACGCTGACCTGAAGATCTCTTCTTTCCTGCTGCTGGCCCCACTCTGGAGACTGCTAGCCGGGATAAGATGTGGAGTGCAGTTGGTATCACTCCGCATGGGACACTACAGAGGAGGCATCGGCTTATGCATCTCTTGCTCTTTACTACAGCTCCAACTTTACAAGTAGTCCCTCTGCATTGCACTCTGATGTTTTAGGATGAGAGGTCAGCAAGCCCAGACCACGACCTACCAGTCACCTGGCCAATATCTACTGGTAGATCACGATCTACGGGTTGCTGACCCCCGGTCTACAGCACCAATTAGGTCATATTTATCTGTTCTTCTAATACAGTGCTTTATCAACAAACAATCTGCTGCAGTCAACACAGGCAGTTTTTCATTCAGACTCCTTGATATAACAAGGGCTACTGTATTTGAAAAGTGGACACTTGTCCAAATGTACAATTTAGACAAACAGTTGGTGTAGAAAAAGTAAGGGAAAGTTACAACCCCTGTCAGTTTATTTTTTGCCATCTGTATCCCATTGGGGACATTTACCTTCACTTCTCGTCACACAGCCAAAACCGGAAGTGAGAAAATCTCTGCAAATTAACCACATGCCGCCCAGCCACTGTAGAAATACGGCAGCAGGGCAGCACGGCTGGGCAAAACCACGTTTTAAAACGTGTGCTATTAAAACAGGTAGGGGGCGCGCGCCGCCGCCCCTACCTGTCCCGCCAATCACGGCCGCGGATGTCAGTCGCCGGGTCACAACCAGTCGTTGCCGGCTATGTCTCGGCGATTATCGGCAATCCGTGACAGAGAGCACAGCTGCAGTAGCTGTGCTTTCTGTCAGTTCCCTGACAGCTCCTGACACACTGATCGGGACAGAAGAGTTTATCTGTCCCCATCAGCAGTGTTCCCTGCTGTACACACCCCCCGCCCCCTAATAAAACACTCCCCTCACACAGTTAACCCTTTCACTGAATAATAAAGTTAACCCCTTCCTCCCCAGTGCCATTAGTACAGTGTCAGTGTTTTTTTTTTTGCACTGAACACTGTATTGGTGTCACTGGGGATGTCAGTGACCCCAAGTCAGTTCCCCCCCCAGTGTCAGAATGTCCGCCGCAGTCCCGCCATAAGTCACTGATCACCGCCATTAGTATAAAAAAAAAAAAAATCCCAGTATCTTTCCCCTCATTTGTAAACGCTATAACTTTCATGTAAACCAATTAATTTACACGTATTGGGTTTTTTGCAGCAAATACATGTCGCAGAATGCATTTTGGCAGAAATTTATGACAAAATTTGATTTTTTACATTTTTTTTTTTACTGGACATGTTTTATAGCATAAAGTCCAAAATATTGTTTTTTTTCCTCAAAATTGTCAGCCTTTTTTTTTATAGCGCAAAAAATAAAAAATGCACAGGCGATCAAATACCACCAAAAGAAAGCTCAATTTGTGGGGAAAAAAAAAATGTAAATTTTATGTACCGTATTGCATGACTGCGCAATTGTCCGTTAAACTAGCGCAGCGCTGTAGAGCAAAACAAAAATGGGTAAATTGCAGAATCTATACCATAGTTTGTAGACGTTATAACTTTCACACAAAAGCAATCAATATACACTTATTGGGATTTTTTTTACCAAAAACATGTAGCAGAATACATTTTGGCCTACATTTATAACTAACTTTGAGTTTACTATATATTTTTTATAGCTGAAAGTAAAAAATATCATTTTTCTTCAAAATTTTTGGGTTTTTTTTGTTTATAGCGTAAAAGATAAAAAGCGCACAGGTGATCAAATACCACCGAAAGAAAGCTATATTTGTGTGAAAAAAAGGACGTAAATTTCGTTTTGGAAGCAGCATTGCATGACCGTGCAATTATCAGTTGAATTAGTGCAGCGCCGAGTAGCAAAAAGAGGCCTGGTCATTAAGGGGGGGTAAATCCTCAGGAGCTCAAGTGGTTAAAGGAATTCCTTGGGGACCCCCAGGTCACAGAACTAGTGTCCCTATTGGGAAATTTTCATTCTTCTTTTCTGGGGGCAACACAAAACTTGGGGGTTTCTTGTACTTTTTGTCAGGTTTATCATCAAAAAGTGAAAGGGTGAAAACTGCCTTATGGAGCAATAAACACTGACAGATGTTCTAATCCATACTCTTCTATCCTAAAAAAAAAAAACTAAAAAAGTTTTGCCTTTAGTTATACTTATAAGTCATCAACAGCAATTACCATTGTTTTTCTGTTTATGCTCTGAACCTCGGGAAAGTTGGCAGTGTGTCATGCAGAACAAAATTAGGTACTGTCCTTACCAAGGGATGGTTTACTATAATGTCTGTAGACGTTATCCATTTTGCTGAATTTACCGTGAAATGTATCCTGAACTGAATATATTATTCGGTTTGCATCACAGAGCTATAAGCCAGAATAAAAATCCTTTTTTTTTTCTTTTCTAAATAAGTAAAGTTTTAGTCAAATTAGACTAAAAAATTACAGACACATGGCTGAAATACAGATGAGCACAAGGGTAGTAAAACTTTGTAAATGGGCTGTTTCTTACAGGTTCAAATGGCAATATACAACAGTTACACATACAAAACAATTTATACAAAGCACACAACTTAGGAAAAAGCAAATTTTATTAATGGTATACAATTTTATGGACACAAAATCCTGTTAAAAACACAGACACATGGGAAAACATTTATGTAGTAAAAATGTCAGCTTTGCTGAGTTCTCAGGAATAAGAAATTTATATTTGGTTCCAAACAATGGAAACATTACTGCTTAACAGTTACAGAAAAATATTTATATAAACATTAAAGTGGCATGTGTCACTCCCATCCGCCAAGTGCAAACTATTAACGGCTTCATGTAAAATATTGTGCTATGACTCCAATACCAGACTTTTCACATGAAGTAAACTTGTGACAGGGACCAACACTGTGTAGAAGCCACACAAAATTCCTTCTAAACAGAAAATCTAGGTGAAAACTGCATCTAACCCCCAAGGCCATCTGTCTTCTACTTCATGGACAGAATGGTAAAAAAAAAAAAAAAACATTGTGCTATAAAAAAAAAAGCCAGAGGTAACTCTGACAAGTCCTCAATACTGTGTAATCCTCCTCTCACTGGACTACAAAGCTCACTATCATTAAATTACTGGTCAATCCTTAGTAATGCCCCATAGTATTGCTGAAGATATATCAAAGAAAGCTTCATTATTTTTTGCTGGTGGCAAATCCATTCTTTCCACCTCCAAATGAATGATGGGATATTCTCTGCGCTAAAACTTTGTGGAGGTTATTGTAGTCTGAGAAGTGCAAAGGTCTTTGTGTGTCTCTATATTGCATCATTGCAGTGGTGTACAACACTTATGCCAGTCATGAACTTTTCGAACCTGCCGTAATGATGGAGATAAACGATAAACTGAATGAGTCTTTCATACAAACACAGCTCAAGCTTTCAAACTTCATCAAATGTTCAAAAAAAAAAAAAAAACTATTAAGTAAATCTCACCTCCAGCTGTCAAAACCAGACACTGCAGGATATCAGACAGAGAAACAATTCCTTTAGCCACATTATTATTATCCACTACAACCAGTCTGTGTACCTAGAGGGAAAAATAAAAAAAATTTTTAATAGTAAACTCCAACCTTCATCACTATAATAAAAAAACACTACAAGAAACCTACTGTGGCCTTTTTGTTATGTATTTTTCACACAGATATGTACTTTTAATGTCCTGAAAAACAAAACGCTAAAACCAGAGCACTTCCAGAGGATCTTCTGTATAGGACAGGACCATGCCACTTACAATGGCCTCTACAGGACTTGTAATTTCAGACTGCAGACATTGTGTGGGTGTGGGAAAGAAGAAGGTAACCTTATAAATGTTAGTGTACAGAGTATACTTCAGCGCAATTATCTAAGCAGCAATATATCACTCTCTCCAAGTTATATATTGCTGCTGTCACTATATGTGTTCCCACATGAAATCAAATAAAATCTAAAAGTGCTGAGAAATATACTGTTCTACTACCAAATAAAGTGTGTAGAAAAACAGCAATACTATATACCATGTGCAGTGCATACAATAACATTTGTACAACTCATAAGTATAACCCAGAAATAAAAATGGTTCCATAAGTCGTTATAAAACAATATTGTACAGAATAGTCTTCCTTTTGTGTATGGTGATCCTCCTATTCAACAGTAAACAGTTGTGCAAATCTTGCCATGCTTATAATCAGTCAATGTCTATAATCATAAATGTAAAATATATAGACAGCGCCAATAAAATATATATAAAGCTGCAAACCTAACCAAAGAAAAGGTAAGTGACAAAAAATATTTAAAGGAATGCGCTAAATGCCAAATCACATGAAAAAGCAGATATATACATAAATAAAATAAAAAATATTTATAAAATGTCCGTAATTCATATACAAGTCCAAACACCAATATAAGTGATTAAAAAATCTCTTAAACAAGAAAAAACACTGTGTAGCAAAATCCATCACCGAATGAAATGGGTAAACTCACCAGAGCTATTTGCTGATCAAATTATAAATCAGCAAAAATAGCAAATGCTCTGGAAGCGATGATCTGTTGGAGTATCCAGGAGCAATAGACTGCAATCAGCCAAATCAGCACACATGGAACAGCCTTAACTGCAAGTGGTCATCATGCCTTCATAACTTTGTAAATGCTTGGGGAATCAAAGAAGAGTATCATGGTACAGTATATTAAAGCAAAGATAATTTTTATTGTAGCCTAAATATGCACTCACAAGAAAGGTGTCCAACCGACACCAGCAATATCAGTCTCAAAAAGCTAAAGCAGGGACGGCCGCCCCTTGAAGACATCGGATGACGAAACGCGTAGGGCAGGGCAAAGCTTAGTGGATGGGATGTCAGGACGCTCCTCGAGACTGTTGGCTGTGATCATGGTGAGCGAGGCTCGTCCCTGCTTTAGCTTTTTGAGACTGATATTGCTGGTGTCGGTTGGACACCTTTCTTGTGAGTGTATATTTAAGGCTACAATAAAAATTATCTTTGTTTTAATATACTGCACCATGATACTCTTCTTTGATTCCCCGAGCATTTACAAAGTTATGAAGGCATGATGACCACTTGCAGTTAAGGCTGTTCCATGTGTGCTGATTTGGCTGATTGCAGTCTATTGCTCCTGGATACTCAAACAGATCATCGCTCCCAGAGCAATTGCTATTTTTGCTCATTTATAATTTGATCAGCAAATAGCTCTGGTGAGTTTGCCCTTTTCATTCGGTGGTGGATTTTGCTACACAGTGTTTTTTCTTGTTTAAGAGATTTTTTAATCACTTATATTGGTGTTTGGACTTCTATATGCAATTACGGACATTTATAAATAATTTTTTATTTTAATTATGTATTTATCTGCATTTTCATGTGATTTGGTATTTAGCACATTCCTTTATATATTATTTAATGTCTATAATCAGATGACTACAACAATAAATAATAAAATAGAAAATCTGCTCATTTGCTGAGAGCGCTGCCAGTGAGAGCCACGTGTTCTCCATGTCTAGCAGCTCTCCAACAGAATGCAATCAGGTCTAGGAGGATAAACGGAGAACACCTGGTTCTGACTGGCAGCGCTCTCAGCAAATGGGCAGATTTTCTATTTATATTCTTATTTATTGTTGTAGTCATTATCTGATAGTTATCTGCAGAAATATATATATATATATATATTTATATTATTTTATTTATTATTTTGTAGTTTATTTTAATCTTGTTTATTATCTGCAGATTATATGAATTAAATTATTTGTATTGATTATTTTGATAATATATCTATTTTTAATTTATATCTGAATTTATTTTGATATTTTTCTATTTATATGTGTATTTGTTTTTGTTGATGTAATCTGATTATCTGCAGATATATATTTTTTTATATTTTATATACATTTTTATTTTATTTAAATTTTTTTTAGTATATAAGATTTTTGTTGGTAATATCCGATTGTCATGTGGAGAATATATATATATATATATATATATATATATATATTTATTTTATTATATTTGAATTTGAATTTAGAATTTACATTTTTCATTTATGTTGTTATAATTCAGTTATTGTTATCTGCAGCCTTGTACTGTCCGAGTCCCTTCCACTGGGAGGGGAGACAGAGCCTGTCCGCTCCGGGACACCCCGAACAACCAGGCAGTATTTCCGCTGGGTGATCATAGAGGCGGACAAAGACTAGCACCACTCTGTCCATCACTAGGATATAGGAAACAGAAAGTGATGAGCATACCAGATAAAAACTGCTATTTTTAAAAATGGAAAGCATTTATCACACTGATCTTGGTGTAATTGAATGCTTTTCAGGGCAGAGGATGGATCTAGGGTCTTACTGACTCCAGATCTCTCCATAAAGAGTACCTATCATTGCCTATTGCTGTCACATGGGATGTTTACATTCCTTGTGACAGCAATAAAAGCAATCTAAAAAATTTAAATCTTTTTTTTTTTTTTTTAAATGTTAAAGCACCCTTGTTCTCTCAAGCTCACAGGCAAAAACTAATGCATGTGTCAGTCCCGCATGAATGCAAACAGCAATAGTCACACACACGCGAGGTATCACTGTGCACGTCAGATCGTGGAAGTAATTCTAGCACCAGACCTCCAGTGTAAATCTAAAGTGGTAACCTGTAAAAGCTTTTAAAGTGTCACCTATGGATAGTGCTTGAGGTGATTGTAGCCGTATTAGTGCATTTGCGACAGAAACAATTGAGTACTGTCCCTGATACTTTTTTTATTTGCACTAACATATAATTTTGAGGACAAGCATTCGGGGTATGTCCCCTTCTTCAAGGTCCAGGCAGTACTATTACAATGTTTTAGCAGAATGTTAGAAGAGATGTTGAAAGGGGGAAAAAAAAAAAAAAAAAACCAGAAAGAAACACACACAAACAAATGTACACAGCAATGGTTATAAGACTAGGATTAGACTAGAGATAAGACACAGCAAAAGCAAAGACTGGGAGGGGGGGGGGGGGTTGTCAAGATGTCACAAATAATGGAAGCAAACCCTGCAATAAAAATGCTGCAAACTGTGTAACCAAATCAATCCATCAAAAAGTGTCAGATACTCAAAAGGGATCTTCAATATTTCCGGATCATACAGCTGCACCTCCAGTAATGTTGTGTACCTTATCCAGTGCAGAAAATGCAGCAAAGGATCTTATGTTGGCGAAACAGGACAGAAGTTGCAAACAAGGATGAATTTACACAGACATACCATCAAGGAACATAAAGAAGATGACTTTTGCAGACCTCACTTAGAAGACCTCAATATCTTAGTTCTTAAAGGGAATTTCAAAACTATTCAGGAAAGGAAAACGTTTGAACTAAGAATGATAATTCTATTTGATACAAGAGATAACAGCCTGAATTTGGACATTTGGACAACGGCCTGAATTTGGACATGGGATTCCTCACTCATTATCAAACAATTCTGACATGTTGGTATTATATCTCATACATTGCACTACGAGTACATAGGGCTGGATAAAACATCATGTCATCATTTTAGGCTGCAAAGCAACAAAATGTGATTTTAAAAAGGGGGGGGGGGGGGGATTCTTTTCTCTACCCACTGTATATACCATAGTTTGCAGACTCTAAAACTTTCCAAAAGACTAAATAATATACACTGATTTGGGTTATTTTTACCAAAGTCTCGTAGCAGAATACATTTTGGCCTGGACTTCTGAAGAAGGATTATGTATTTGAGAAACTAAAAAAATGCTATATTTGCAAAATTTTTGGTCTTTAAAGTAATCTATTTAGCAAGAACGAAAAACAAACAAAAATAGTAATGATTAAATACCATCAAAAGAAATCTCTGTGTGAAAAAATTATAAAGATTTCATTTAAGTACAGTGTTGCATGACAGTGCAATTGCCAAAATGTGACAGCGCTGAAAACTGAAAATTGGCCTGGGAAGGAAGGGGTTGAAAGTGTTCTGTTTTGAAGTGGTTAATTGTCTGATTGTCTTACAGTCTACATTGCATGCACATGCCGCAGTCCTTGTGCATGCATAGTAATACACACCCCCCTCAGGACAGGGGTCATTTTTAAGAAATAAATTCTTTCATTACATACACAAATAGACAGAGAGCTAACAATTTCTCTTATTTCAGCAGACATCAAATTTTTATTGCATAAAATAAATATTTAGATAGAACAGGAAAGCACAACAGATATTTCTACCCTGCACTATATAGGGGCAGTTTCAACAGTGAAAGTGCTCTGTTATCAGTGTCACTTTAAATATTCAATATTTGCTAAAAAAAAAAAAATAATAATATAGAGATGCTCAGCACTGAAGGGGACATTTCTACTGAAACCTTTCAAGGCCAAGTGTTTGGACAGCATGACAAGAAAAACCCTTACTAATTCCAGCTGAACTAGGGTCCTCAAAATGAGAGGTCGAGGAGTGGTTACAAAGAGTGTATTACATTGCAGCATGCTTGCTACAAGAAACAGTCCGGAGAGAATACACTCAGTCTAAACTCAATTCTTTGGAATGTTCAACAAAAGGCATACTACATTGCAAATAGGATGCTGAATCTCAGGTGACTCCTTCCATGACACTACCCTCTGCTATACCGGTTTTTGCTGAGTTTTTACCTCTGGCTGCTGCCTGCAGAGTTAACCAAACCCTTCTCCTGGTTCTCTTCCCCTACTGACACTCCTTGTCCAATAGTAGAGATTCCTAGCACACTGTGTGGAGTCAACTATGCAGAACTGGAGGCAGCATAGGACTGAGGGCCGTACACATGACAGAATATGACACAGTAGAGGTTTTTGGGTTTTTTTTTTTGTAACAGAAGTGAGATGCTTTTTTTAAATGGACGCAGCTTAATTATAAACAAACATTATGAACAATTTAAAAATGGCAACATTACGGACTCCTCTCTATGAATATGTTAAGTACCTTGCTGTTATGCTATCTTGTTTCAATATTCTGGGATTCACTTACATGGACTTTTTTTTCCTGACTTTCCTGATTTCGATACTTATTCCGATCAGTGTTTCAAAGTATTGAAGCCAAAAGGTTCAAATTTAGCAACTAAAGATGATACAGCGGTGGCAGCTTCCATGTGTCTCTAATGACAAGTTTGGCATGACTTGCGTTTATTCCTAATGATACTAAAGGAAGGCAGGAACTAACAAATACTGACGAAAGTCTGGCTTAGGACATAAGTACATGTGCTGTACATACTTGGCCATCCTAATAGTTTCAGAAACAGAAAAAAGTCTTTAGATAGATTTAGAGATCTAAATAGCTCTGGCATTCTATGGATCTATATTTTGTTAATGTTCCACATACAGTGTAAACTGCCTAAGCCCCATCCAACATGTTATGTCTGAGCATGTGTCTGCTGCTGTACATCCCTCCCTGCACCTTTACCACACTAGCCAGCAGAAGACTTGCTTGGGACACTGGGAAATATGAGCTTTGTGATTGCTGTACACAGAGCTGGCAATACCGCTAAGTGAACTAGGCAGCGACCTATGGCGCTGACATGGCCTCTGGTTTCCCTACTCTTCGGCCATTTAAGTTTTCAGTGCTGTATAAATACCTCTGTGTGACGGGAGTCACTTTGGGTGGGGGGCCCCTGGAACCCAGCTCACTTTGGAGAGGTGGGGAGACCCCTGTCTCAGCTCCCCATATCCAAGGGTGATCTGTCCTAATATTGTGTAGACATTTATATAGGGGGGGTGGGGGTTGTAGATTGTTTAATGCCATGTGGTTGCATCCCATTGTTATATTGTGTGTCTTGCTTGGGAGCAAACTATTATGGAATGTATGTGTTTGGCTTGGTGGGGGGGGGGGGAGGGGGGGGGTGTCTCCAGCAGCATCCCTCCTGATGGGACTGTCTGTTGGTGTGTCTCTTGTTACTAAATGTAGATTTCCACGCCCTGTGACATTATGCAGGGAGGGGGGATTGTTCCCTTGAGTGTATATATCTTGTATCTGTGTTAAAATACATTAGTCTACTTTCTGGATTGCTTCAAGATTGGTGTCGTCTAGTCTTGTATGGTCAGCGGTGGTGTCTGTTGTTGGTGTTCGGACGGGGAAGCAGTAGTCCAACGGAAGCACCCAAGTGCGGTATGGGGTCAGTTCCGTTACGCTCTGTAAGAAATGTTATAACCTCTAGTGACTGCTGTTGGGATGAAGTGTGCATATCTAGGGTGCTGCCACTGCTGCATGTAATTTAGGCAGCCGCTCAGTAGTGTCGCCATAGAGGCACAGTACTGGAGGACGTGCCCCAACAAAAGCAGACATCCCCTGCATGCCTCTATCAGTGACCTGTCTCTGTCTTTGGTGGTCATCCCAATACAGCCAGCTCTGCCCATACATTCAGTGATTCCTATACCTGAGTCATCTGACCCCTGCCTCCCCATGTCACCGCCATTTGTATATAGAGGCAGCTCTCCCTCCTGGTCTGTCCTGTACAGTGGCAGCATGCTATAGGAGTAGTGGACAGTCTGGGGGCGGTGCCTGGTGATAGCTAGAGGTGGAGTTTGTTCAGTGCAGGGTCATTGGATGCAGAGCCCCAGTGAGTACACACTAACATTATATATATACTATATGGTGTATAGACTGATCTGTCCTCACGTGCTTGATGTCATTATACCGACCACATGGCCTGGATATAAGGGGCCCCCTCACCCTTCCACTACTGCACTAATATAGGGGTGGCGCATTCCCATGTATTTTGCGTTCATAGGACAGCCCATTCATTTGCAAGAAATGTAGAAACGTCCCTCTTTTCAAAAAATGTGCCAATGGGCTGTGGACCCATGTGATTTGGCACATGTGAAAATGTGCACATTTGCAGATGTGTGAGGGTACCATAACAATTCAAAATTCTTTTGGGGGGTAGGGGTGCAAGTAGCTGGTCTTGCCTAGGGCGCAAAATAGTCTAGCACTGACCCTGGCTGCACAGCCAATTTCTCTCTGGCTCTTTTAGCCACAGTATTTCTAGAACAGGGGGAATTTAAACTACTAGGTTGTCAAATGCATCGTTTTAGCAAGACTAGCTCCCTCTAGGTACTGGTGATTAGATGCTTTTTTGGTTTAAGTCCACTTCTCTCTGGGAGCTCTACATTGTTATGGTCTGCTATGCTCCTGATCATCAATACACAAATTGACATTCCCTCCCCCCTTCCCCCCAGACTAAGTCACCTGAAAGCTCTCAATCCCCAAACTATTAGGTGTCTTTTTGACTCTGCCAGAAACCCCTGCCTGCATCTACCCTGGACTTTCAAAAATCCTAGCCTGCATCACCACCCAGGCTTACCATTCAACAAAAGGTACACCCTTCTCATAAACAGACACAAATTAAGTTTTGTTTAGGCAAGAACTCTTCTTTCCACAAGGCACACTATACCTATTTGCTATAAAACTACAGTAATCTAATCCTCATCGCACCTTTCCTTATTTTGTGTTCACTTTCCTCAGTTGTTGCTGCTAGTTACAGCACACTTTGTTTTAAGAGCCCTCTTCTGTGAAATGTATTTTTTTTTACCTCTGCTTCAACAAGCCGGTTGATGATGGTTTCAAGGGTTTCATGTGGGTAACATTTTAGGACACCTTCAAAGTAATGAGAGCGATGTCCAAGAGCCTTTGTCACGGTGATATCCAAATTATTGTACGTTTTCTCAGCTGCTAAATTCTAGATATAACAAAAGGAAATATCAGACCTGATGCATATGGAGATCCCCAGAATATGCTATGGTAAAAGAAAAGTACTCACAATCACATCAAACTTGGAATAAATATCCACCACGCGCCCTGTGGACAAGAACAACCACCCGTGAAAAGCAGCCATAAATCATTTTAAAATTAAAGAATGAAAGAGCACACTTTGGTCATCCCTAGTCTTTTCAGGATTCATTTTCCTCTCCTGCTCTGTCAGTGGCATAAACTTCAATAAATACCATCTATCTAACCAAAGAATTCTGTAAAAGTGAAGAAAGGGAAGTGGTTGATTTTTATTGTCCTTATTCACAAGGCCGATTAAGCCCATACACCTTCAAGAATCAGCATTAATGTCCAGCAGAGATCATAGGTATTTGTGATCATTTGTAGCCGGGAAGTCTGTACAAATCTATGACCAGGGCCTCGCCTCTCTCCATAATCACATGTAATGCCTTGGAGGTCTGTTTACATGCAAACAGCCACGGTGCCTGTCATTGATTTGCACAAACTTCCTGACTGCAGCTAGTTGCCAACATCTGTGACCCCCACAAGAAAATTCACGCCGATTCTTGGAGGTGCACAGCCACAATCAACTGCATGAATAAGTTAACAAACAGATTCTTCTGAATTTGTCCTAGTACACACACCTAGAGCTGTACCAAGGCTCTGGTCCTGGAAAGCGCTCAGTGGCTAACACAGTACACCAAGGTCTGGAATGCGCCACAATGCAGAGCCAGTGCTGAGGAGCTACTGATCTGGATAGCTGCTGTGTAGGAACCAACTCGAGCAGCAGTGCAGCAAGGAATCTTTATTCAACTTGCCAAGGAAAAAATGCCAGGGGTGTAGTAAAGATCTTGATTGACATCACCAAGGAAAAAAAAACACCACAAGGTTAGTAAAAATTGTTAACTGTTTCAGCAGACCTGAGGAAAAAGGAATCCAACCTCATAGGACACTAGCGAAAAAACTGAAGCATGCTGGGTACATGAGGGGCTATACGGGGGCTGGCTTACGTTTATCTATTTGCGGTTGTTACAACCTTTTGCAGACAGCAGTAGAACCTACCTGTTCCTGAATTCCTGTGTCCCTCAATGTAGGATAATGAAATAACACTTGTGTGATATCCTTTTAATCAGAAGACTTTGTGGGTCGTATTGTGGGGTAAATATCTGGAGATGTGCAAATTTTGAAATAGTTGTACTGTACAAAATTATAGGAAAATGCATTTTTTCATTTCTAATATCAATCTAAAAAATAAAAAAAAAATATGCATCCAAGCCTACTATGGAAGCAATAAAATAAAATAAAATAAAAAAAAATCAAATGGGACTGAATAGGGGTATAGGAGGGAAAAGGCTGAAGGATTCAAAAGGTTAACAGGATGAAGCCCTGCTGAGCTTGGGAAACTTTACGCCATTTTCCCCAGGGTTCCTGTCATGCAGGAAATATTACTAAAAAGACTAAACACAGTCAATGTGCAATGCAGCACAGAATGCCTGAGCAATAAACAGCTGACAAGAAGCTATCTGAAGCAAGGGAAAATGTGTGAGCAAAGTATACTAATTGTTAACAGCTATATAATATAGCAATCCTTCTTTGGCAACTATATGGTAGACATGAAGTAGTAGTAAATCAGTGAAGCTATGAACTCTACATAAAATATATTTTAAGCTGGTTGCACAAACTTTGCCACACTGAACAATGATTAGATATACGGCCTGCATTAGTTCTTCCATAGAATCCTCTAGTTTTAGGATATCTGTATATCAGAGGACATCACCTCTAATTCTTGATATGGTCTCAAATCCACTATAACCTGCTCTTTAGTAATTCTAGTTCTACAACTGACAAAAAAACTACTTCTTACAAAATGACAATACATGACCCTCTTGAAAGCTGGCAACATCTTCCCACAGTTAACTACAAAGTGTTTTAACAAGAAACCTCTAAAAGGTCTCACAAGGTACTTCTGCCTTGGTGGGAGATTTGCCCGCTATTTGAACAAGTTATAACCAGATGGATCACTATCATCTTTCTTCCATGCCGTAGTTGTCTAAATCTACAAAAAAAAAAAAAAAAAACCAAGATGGAAAGAAATGTTTAAAATCACGCTCTTTTTTTAAAACCTTCAAATTAAAACAGGATCCTTGGATTTGTTATAAAGACCCTGTCAGGTTTATATTGTTGTCTGTGTCCCTGCTGGGAGCTTCACCCTCACTAAATAGCCTAGTGACCACTGCAACGTAAAGTAATGGGAAATCTAAAATTTTAACCAGTTCCCTACCGCGCTATAGCCGAAGGACAGCTACAGCGCGGTTGTCTGGTTCTGAGATGACGACCATGGACATCATTCCAGAACACACCCCCAACAGCACGCACACGGCACTGCCGGTGATCGCTGTGTTCTATGGACACAGCTGATCACGGTATATGGTAAAACGGCCAATCACGGCGGACTTTTAACACATGATCAGCTGTGTCCAATAACACAGCAGATCACCGGGTAAATACATTTGCCAGTTATCAGCTGCACTTTCCTCACGCTGTCACAGCGTAAGGAAAGTACTGCCGATAACCGCCGATTGTCAGAGAAGTGATCGGCACCAATCAGGGACACTGATCATCAGTGCCCAGCAGTGCCACCCACTTGTACCCTGCAGTGCCACCCACCTGTGCCCTGCAGTGCTGCCTATCAATGCAGCCTCATCAACGCACATCAGTGAAGGAGATAAATTACCTGTTTGGAAAATTTTATAATAGAAACAAAGAAAAAACCCTTTTTCTTCAAAAATTTTTTGCTCTTTTTTTGTTATTAGTGCAAAAAATAAAACACCCAGAGGCGATTAAATACCACCAAAACTCAATTTGTGAAAAAAATTATAAAAATGTTATATGGGTAAAGTGTTGCATGACCGTGCAATTGTCATTCAAAGTGTGACAGTGCTGAAAGCTGAAAATTGGCCTGGGCAGGAATGAGGTATAAGTGCCCAATAGGCAAGTGGTTAAAGTTGTCACCAGGAGGTGAGGGAACTCTTCTAATGGGGACACTTGCCACTTTGTTGCAATATACTCTTACCCTCTGGTGTGTTTCTGGGACAGAAAATGAAAGGTAATCTCCCCCAACAAACATAAAAAAATTACAAATCACTTCCCTTCTCTATCCAGAACTTAGTTTAGGCTAAATATACATATATATATATATATACACCATGTTCCAAATTATTACGCAAATTCTATTTAAGTGTCACAAAGATTAAATATTTTGTTTTTTCAGTTTAACTCATGGATGGCATTGTGTGTCAGGGCTCTTTTGATCACTGAAAACAATCTCGGACACCTGTGATAATTAGATTGGCAGGTGAGCCCAATTTAAGGAAAAACTACTAAAGGAGGGTGTTCCACATTATTAAGCAGAGCACCATTTTCAAGCAATATGGGGGATAAAAAGGATCTCTCTGCTGCCGAAAAGAGTGAAATAGTTCAATGCCTTGGACGAGGTATGAAAACATTTGATATTTCATGAAAACGTTAAGCGTGATCATCGCACTATTAAGAGATTTGTGGCTGATTCAGAGCACAGACGGGTTGGTGCAGATAAAGGCACATTGAGGAAGATTTCTGCCAGATCCATGCATCGGATCAAGAGAGCAGCTGCTAAAATACAATTACATAGCAGCAAACAGATATTTGAAGCTGCTGGTGCCTCTGGAGTCCCTGCGAACATCAAGGTGTAGAGTCCTCCAGAGTCTTGCAACTGTGCATAAACCTTCTATTCGGCCACCACTAACCAATGCTCACAAGCAGAAACGGCTGCATTGGGCAGAAAAATACATGAAGACTAATTTTTAAACAGTCCTGTTCACTGATGAGTGCCGTGCAACCCTGGATGGTCCAAATGGATGGAGTCATGGGAACAGAGCTGGTCAGCCCCTTTAGGGTCCCCGAAGGTGTAAACATGACCTCTGCAAAGTATGTGGAGTTTATGACTGACCACTTTCTTCCCTGGTACAGAAGGAAGAACTATGCTTTCCGTAATAAAATTATCTTCATGCATGACAATGCACCATCTCATGCTGCAAATAATACCTCTGCATCAATGGCTGTTATGGGGATAAAAGGACAGAAAGTCATGGTGTGGCCTCCATCCTCCCCTGACCTCAATCCTATTGAGAACCTTTGGAGCATCCTCAAGCAAAAGATCTATGAGGGTGGGAGGCAGTTTCCATCCAAACAGCAGCTCTGGGAGGCTTTTCTGACATCTTGCAAACTAATTCAAGCAGAAACTGTCCAAAAACTCAGAAGTTCAATGGATGCAAGACTTGTGAAGCTGCTATCAAATAAGGGGTCCCTATGTTAAAATGTAACATGACCTGTTAAAATGTTTAAAAAGTTAAAATGTTGTTAAAAGTTTGATTGAAATAGCTTTTGATTTCAGTAAATATGCTGCAAACACAACAAATGACAATTTTCAGTTCTTTACAACCTATAAAGTGTTTTTGAAACTTACTGTGCGTAATAATTTGGAACAGTGAATTGTAAGTTTTTTTATGTTTAAAAAAAATACTGTTATCATTAGGAGGTTTGTTCAATAAAATTTGAATTGTACTCTTAATAGTTGATAACATGAGAATTATGATGACTGTTACTTACATCAATTATTTAGGTAAATGAGAAAAATATAATTTGCATAATAATTTGGAACAGGATATATAAGCAGCATTAATGGCAACAACAGATATATGATCCTACATAGTGTTCACATTATAGCTTATTGTGCAGATATGAGGAACGTCTGACTTGGTTGTCATAATAAATACAGATTGAAAAGAAAAAAATAAAATGATATCTTTAGTAAAGTAAGTAGTATAGGTAAGAAATATATATATATTTACCAGACTCATCAACAACTGGTAAAGCAGATACACGGCGCTGCACAAAAATACCCAGAGCAACATAGACAGGAGTGTTGGGATGGACCATAGCAATGTTATCGTATGTTCCAATCTTCAGCTGCTCTAGTGTTTGATTCACAAAAGCTGGCTTTTCCAGTTCAGACATCTGAAAACATGAACAGAACAAAAGTGAAATATCTAAACCTGGAAGATGGAAGTAGCAGGCATAAATGGAGAGGAGACTCACAAACAGCTTGAGAAACTTGAGAATCCTCTTGTGCGTTAATATGTACAGTGTATTTCCGGAGTCTGGAGAAATGACTGGCAGACGATGAATGCGGTTTTTAATCAGTGAGGAGACTGCATCAAAGAGGCTAAAGAGCAAAAAAATATTAGTGGAATACAGTAACAAAATTCCTAAGACGGACAAGTATTAGGCATGAACAATACACACCTGGCACTTGGTGATATGCTGACCAAAGGCTTGAAAGAGTCTTGTAAATACACTTCTAAAAGGAAATAAATAATTCAACAAGATTTAGATGTCAATTGCCTTCAGCTATCTGATTTGCTCCTATCCATATTTGTTCACACAATTGCAGATATTTGATTTGTAGGTTGACAACTCACCTCTCCAAGTCTCTATCTTATGTTCCTCCAGCTCATAAATTTGCACCTGATAACACACAGGGAGCAAAGTAACACTTCACTAAGCCATCAGAAGTAAAGCTTATAAACTGCTCCTACTAGTCAAAGAACATCAATGAGGAAAATACTAATGACAAACAGCCATAAAGCTTTTTGTTTCCCATGTTAAAGATCTAGAGGAACTGCTAGGGTATATGAAATGTAAAGAATATTTCCAGGCATCAGCATTCTTTTTTTACAGTTACATTTGTAAAGCTTGGACAAATGTGTATATTTAAATATATACTCAGCTGCCACTTTATTAGGTACACTTGTTCAATTGCTTGGTAACAAATTGCTAATCAGCCAATCACATGGCAGCAATTCAATGCATTTAGGCATCTAGACATGATGATGACTTGTTGAAGTTCAAACCGAGCAACAGAAAGGGGAAGAAAAAGAGGATTTAAGTGACTTTGCATGTGGCATGGTTGTTGGTGCCAGACGGCTGGTCTGAGTATTTAAAAAACTGTTGATCTACTGGGATGTTAAAACGCATATTGTCAATTTCATACAACAGACACACTGCCATAATCATAGTGTCACATACTTAGTCCATATATGAAGTCCATAGGAAGTCCAAGCACCAGAAGGAATGCGGTAGAACAACTGTCTAATAAGCATATGGCACTATGGTTATGTCAATTTCAGATTTTTCGAGCCCTAATATTTAAACCTTAACAAAAAAAGTAGAGCATTTCAGATGCCTCGGATGATGTTTATTTTATCTCTTGAATTCACTTGGCCAAGCATTTTAATGTACAGATTATAGGTTATTTATGAGAATAAAAATATGTTTGTACTAGTACTACAGGTGTCAGGCATGTTTTTCTGTTGCTTTTGTTAGTTGATTACATAAGAAATACTGAAATATAAAAAGGACAATTTTGGTGTCAGTCAGTTTTTTTAGAAGCTGTACTATAACCAATAGAATATTTTGTAACTGGGGCCTAGAGGTGGCCATAGAAGGATCCCAGTTTAGCAGAGACTAGCCAAACCTCTATCTATGTCTGGCCACTGCAGTCTACCAGTCACATTCTGTTCAACTGCCCTGTCAAATAAAAGCTGCTTCAGTGCTGATCTGTGTATTCTGACAGAGGTGGAGTCTCCCCGCTATCAGAATACAATAGTAGAGCAGGGAGGATTCCATCAAGGATTCCTTGAATTTGTGGTTGGGGAAAATCGGTTCAGTTTTTTCACTCAGCCGGCTGACTGAACAAAAAAAACGGAACTATGTATGGTAAGCATGAGATAAGAGAGGTGATATTTTAGCATTGGGTGAAATTTTAAGGGGTATTTTAAACATATAAACTGGATACAATATAGTTCAATGGAGGAAGTTTAGTGTAAAAGATGCCTTACATTATCATGTTTTGGAGAAGTTGGTAATATGAGAGGATGTGATGTTGAAGGGTATGTCGAAATGTACCATACTTAGAAATCATGTAGTTGTTGTAAATTTAATTGGTGTGATGGTGAACTTTGATGATAAAAACAGCCCACTGTGAGGAATGACAATACATGTGAATGAGCCTAGTGATAGTTTTGGGCAATATCCTACATGCTGTGGAGTATTTTTATATTACCTCCGCTAATTATGTATGCCTGCCTAAAAAAAAAGGAATCATTTGCAATATTTTGATTCATTGCTTTGAGATAGAGTGCCTCAGTTGAAACTGTAATTATAAGATACAATTACAGTATTGAGGTAAAACTAAAACCCTTTCCCCACATTTTTGAGATTACAATAGGAAGAACAACACTAGAACAGTGTATTAACCACCTCCTGCCTGCCATATAGTAATATGACAGGCGCAAGGTGGTTGTCTCGTTCTGGGAGGACGTCACATGACATCCTCCCATTCTCACCGCGCAGTCGCGGGCTCAGGGAGCGTGCAGCGCGGCAATAGGCGGTGCGCTGTGTCCCTCGGACACAACAGATCACCAATCACAGAAAGAGCCGAAGAGGTCGGCTCGGTCATTTGATCAGCTGTGTCTAATCACATGTAAACAGGAAAAATGCCGGTTACCGGCATTTCTCTCTTCTCGAGCTGTCAGGCTGACAGCTCAAGAGGAGAAGAGAGCCGGTAATCGGCTTTCCGAGGAGGGGACATGTACACTGATCATCGGGGCACTGATGATCAGTGTAGCCCCAGCAGTGCCTGCCACCTGTCAGCGTCATCGGTGCCTCGTGCCATCGGTGCCTCGTGCCAGCGCACATCGGTGCCTCGTGCCAGCGCACATCGGTGCCTCGTGCCAGCCAGCGCCGCCCAACAGTGCCTCGTGCCAGTCAGCGCCGCCCCGCCCAACAGCGCCGCCCAACAGTGCTGCCAGTCAGAAGCTGGGGGTGATCAAACTGACAGACTCCACCCATACTGCTTTCTGGGTTTTGTGAGACTATAATTAAAGGAAACCTATGCTGACAAAATATAGAAGCAGATATTGCTGATCTCCTTGTGGAAATGCTAGTTTTGTGGCTTTGTTGATCTAATGACTTCAATACCTTATGATTCACTGACTTGGAGCAAACACGTAGACACTGAAATCAGCATATCTAACTTGTGTGTCTGTTTCAGGTCAGTAACTCAGAAACTATCATAGTTATGACCTTAGAATGACAAGAAAGCCACTAGCATTTTCATGCTAACCTTGACGTTTTACTCAGTATAATGTTCTTTTAAACAAATATCTACAAGGAAAACATTGAAAAAAAAAACCAAACAAAAAAAAAAAAACAAAACCCAAACTTACCATAGAAGATTTGTAGTATCGATGAAGAATATTAATAAAGTCTGTGATGGTAAGCATGCCTTCAATAGGAAAGAAAACAAGATGTCAGATTAAAGATTGGATTTCTTCAACAATTTTTTTTCAAGCATCTCTGTGGCCTACCTACAAAACTCTGCTTCTTGCTGTCCCACAAAGGTGCTGCTCTCACACCATTACTGACTAAAGCAAAGAAGGCTTTCTTTACCTGAAAGTCAATGTATAGTTAAAAAGGTGCCTAAAAGCGCACACACTGTCAGGGCAGATAAATGGTTCATTAGTTTGCTTACCTGAAGAGATGTATCAAACACTACAAGTTTTGAGCTGATGGGGATAAGGTCATAGCATTTGTGGTTCTTCATAAACATTGTGTAAACTTCACTGTCTAATTCTGAGAAGAAAAAATAAAACCAAAAGAGGGACAAACATTATGACCATGAAAGATGAATAGGTATGGACAAAAAGTTGTCAAAATAATCTTCACCTTCTACTGGGGACCCACATTTTCCTTCTACGCTTGGTTCAATCACAACAGTTCCCTGAAACATAAGATGATATAAAAGTGATTTCAGTTACTAAAAAGTTGATTTGTTAAAACTACCTGTCACCTGCAATAAACCAACATGACAGAATTCATATGAAGAGTCTACTTTTATTGCTTTATTCTAACAAATAAAGCGTCTATCCCCTTCCACTCTATGCCCAAAACAAACAAAAAAAAAAATCTGTCTGGAAATACCAGTTTTCCACTTAAGTGTTTGTAAAGGCTATATTTTTTTTACCTTAATGCATTCTCTGCATTCGAGTAAAAAAATATGTTTTAAGAGCAGCTCTTTACCTTTACAATTACTTTGAGGTATTCCCGTTCTGAAAGAAATAAAGCAATTTCCTTTGGTGACTTTTTTTTACAAAAATACTGCATTCCTAGTTCTATCTGGATTCAGTACATTTGACAGCCAGACATGAAAGTTATGTGTATTGTTCATCTTAGTTAAAGGCCAAAAGTAGGGATGCACCAAAGTTTGGCAGCAAAACATATCTGCCTAAAATAGCCCTTTCGGCATTTTGCCAAGCTGCTTCAGGTGTCGAGAATGAGAGACCCGGCACCAATGAGGGGTGTGGACTGACATTTTGGATTGCAGGTTTTGGGCACTGTACATTCTACAGATGAAGGGGCAGCGGAGAAAAGCAGAGAGGAGGTAAGCAGCGTATGAGGGAGCAGTGTATACAGACAGGCTCCCTCACTTGACACCACTAAATGTCAGTGCCGGTTTTTAAATGCAGTTGCAAGCTTTTTATTTCTTCACTATAGCTCAGAGTAGGTGCTGTCATTTGCCCTGCTACTAAAGTAAACAAAGGGGCGAGGTCACTGGGACATTACCCAGTGATCCTGCCCCTTTGTTTGCTGTAGTAGTGGGGTCAAAGCTCCTTCTCAGAGCTAAATAAATTAAAAAAAAAAAAAAAAAAAAAAAAAAGCTGGCAATTGCATTTAGCGGCGGCAAGTGAGGGAGCCTGTCTGTATACTCCTCTCCTGCCCCTTCCTTGCACACACTGCCCCCCCCCCCCCCCCCCCCCACCCTACAAAGAGGACCCATCACTTATACTCATAGGGCAGCACAGTAGCTAAATGGTTATCACTTCTGCCTGGCAGTACTAGGGTCGTTGGTTTGAAGCCCAGCCACGGCACCTCCTGTCTGGAGCTTGCATGTTCTCCCTGTGCCTGTGTGGGTTTCCTCTGGGTACTCCGGTTTCCTCCCACACTCCAAAGACATGCTGGTAGGTGTATTGGATCCTGTCTAAATTGGCCCTAATATGTGTATGTATGAAATGTAAGTTAGGGACCTTAGGATGTACACCCCTTGAGGGTTAGGGACTGATGTGAATGTACAATATATATGTGTAAAGTGCTGCGTAAATTGACGGCGCTATATAAGTACCTGAAATAAATAATAAATATATGCTATCATATAGGAGACTATTGGTCCCCCTGTGTGATAGAAAAAAAATCATAAGTAAAAAAAAAAAAAAAAAAATAGAACACACATTAAAAGTAAATAAAAATAAAAAAAAGTGAGCTTCCCCACCCCCACATACATTTCGGTTTTCGGCCTAGTGCATCCTGAATTCGAGAATTTTCATTTTGGTGCACCACTACCCAAAAATCTTACATTTGTATTCTCTTAATAAATCACAACATACAGGGGTAAAGGTCTGTGTCATTTGTATTAGAAAATGCCTTTAGCCATCTCAAAAGCAGCATGTGGAGCAAAAGATGGAGAGTTTTAATGTCACCACTCTGCCTCTCCACCTTGTCCAATCAGAGAATGCTTTGCATTCATTCAGAAAAGGCAAAGCATTCTCTGAATGGTGCCCAAACTGAGTAGCCAACGACTTGTGTTCACAACGCAACAAACTAGCCGCTCAGCATGGGACCCGGAAGCAAACAGAGATCTTTCCAGTGGTTGTGTCTACTTCACTGGTTTCCAGCTTTGAGTTGCATCGGCCAGGTATAGTATTTACACAGACACATTGCTCTAAGCTGGACCAATGTAACTATGTAGAAATATACCATGCCTGGAATTCTTCCTTAATATCCAAACAAATCTGGCAAAAAATGAGATGACCTTTAGGTATTTTCTTTGTAAAAAGGAGTCATTTTGGGTTTCATGTTCTGGCATATTTTATTTGTTCTAACATAAAACTGGTTTATTTTCAAAATTGGTAATAAATTCTAGCAAAAAAACTGGTTATTAAATATCACCAAAAGAAAGCTCTGTCTCAAAAATATTACAGAAAATGTATTTGGGTACAATGGTGCGTGACTAATTGTCAAAACTATTTCACCACGGAAAACTGAAATGTGGCCTGAAAAGGAAGGGAATGTGACATGCTGATACTGAGGTGGTTACAGACCGGTTTGTCTCTGTTAAAATACAGCTTTCTGCCCTCAGCCTGCAATGCTTGCAGAGTTGAGAGCCGCAGTGACAATTTTTGGTGATCGCCAAAAAAGTGATAAGCCCGTTCTGCGGGGAGTGTTGAGGTGCTAGGAGAAGCAGGAACAGCAGCAAAAAGGAGAAGATAATCAACACACTTTCATACTATTGCATGTCTACTAGGAATGTGGAAGTAAATACAATTAGACAACATACTGTGTCACTACCCTTAACCTCCTTGGCGGTATTCCCGAGTGTAGCTTGGGGTAACATTTCAGTACCAAGAGCGGTAACCCCGGTAACTTGGGAATACCATGTGGCACTGCTCCGGCATTTGTTCTTCACTTACCTTACCCTGCGCTCCCACGATGTGTCCCCTGCAGCGTCCCCGGCCATCTCCTCCGGCCGATGCCGGCATCCGGCTTCTGTGTCCTGTCCCTGTGACGTCGGGACGTACGGGCGCCGCTGGCGGCGGGAAATTTAAAAATTTAAAAAAATGACATTTTTTTTTTTTTTACATAGTAAAACATTGCCGTCTCAACCAATTTCACATACATTTTGTCCCTAGTGCTTTGTCCGGCGCCCTGCCTGCATTTTGTCTGTTCTTTCTGCCTGGAAACTGAGAAACGTCCATGGCATCCAAAAAGTGTCCCTTTATGTCAAAAGCGGTTTAGATCAGCTAGAGAACAGCGATAGTAAATCAGAACCACTTGCAGAATTGAGTGATAATGATTTGTGGGGGAAATTCGTCATCAGACACTGAAAACGATTTTGCGACTGAGCTCAGCAAGGTACGAACTTGGCGCTATATTTCAAATTCAGTGTTTTTGGTTTGATTATATTATTGAATTAAATTTTTTATTATTATTATATTATTTTTATGATTATTTATTAAATTATAATTTATGATTTTGTGTTTCAAATTATATCATACCCGGGATGTTTACTAGACTCTTGTTCGGACAGATTTCAGTGAGTTTTTCCTAAAAATTACAGGCCTACAATTAAAAAAATACATATTTCCATGCAAAAAAATGGTAACGCTTTCAGCACCAAAAATCTGAAATAATCATACCGCCAGGGAGGTTAACCACTTCAAGACCGGACACTTTCACCCCCGTCCTGCCCAGGCCAATTTTCAGCTTTCAACGCGCTATCACACTTTGAATGACAATTGCTCGGTCATGCAACACTGTACCCATATGAATTTTTTAGCATTTTTTTGAGACAGATCAGGCTTTATTTTGGTGGTATTTATTCACCACTGGAATTTTTTTTTTTTTTGCTATGTAAATGAAAAAAAGTGTTTTTCTTACAAAATTTTGCAAATAAATAATATTTCATCACAAGTCTTGGCCAAAATTTATTTCGTTATATTTTTAGTAAAAAAAAAAAAAAATAATAACCCAAATTAGTTTATAACCAAAAATTATAATTTTTAAACTTTTTTTTTAATTTTTATATATATTTTTTTTTTTTTACATACTGTCACCCTAGCAGTACAGTGTCATCATGTACTACTTGTAAGGGGTGATAAAGGTATTTTTTTTTTACACTGATTGCTTTTACACCCATAAAGGCTGTAAAAGCAATCATTTCTCCTCCTCTCTGGCTGCATTCGTGCAGCCATTGAGAACTACGGTGTGAGCTGTGATTGGTCACAGCTTGTCACATGGTACAAGGCTGTTGTGAATAGCCTTGTACCATGTGACCTCTGATCATTCACAGATTTCACACGTAGTAAGCAATGATGTCATAATTGACATCTTGCTTACTACTCTGCATGTGATCACTGATTGGCCAATCAGTGATCACAAGATCAGGACCTCACACAGAGGTCCTGTACAGCGATCGGTGTTTCACTGTGTCCGGAGGACACAGCGGGCACCGGATTGTGGTGCTGTGCGCTCCCAGGGAGCGCGCACTAGCGGGGGGCGGGGAAGCCATTTATAAACGGCCACCCGACCCTGCACTGCCGCCGTCTGGCCGTTTATATACAACGGCCGGACGGGAAGTGGTTAATCCAAGATGTGTCACCTATTTCCCTATGATTACCAGCATTTCAGCCTTAGACACTACACAATGAAGAATTTATTTTGCCAGTAGTTCTTACACTTCAGCCTTCTGTTTTTTCCAGCAAATGTTCTGGGGTTTTTTTTTTTCTTCAGTGCAACATCAACTCTTATCCCTCTATGCATTCTGTCTTGTCGGATTACTCGGATTACTGAAACCATCTGCCAATTAATCCTTTGACTTCTTATCTCTTTCTTTCTAGTCTGCTCTTTATTTAGCTGCAGAAAGTGAATTTCCGCCTTTGCAACCAAATTTGAGAACCCCCGCAACACATTTGTTACCAATTACACGGCATACCTAAAAATTTAAAAATACATAGCTTTTTTTTCTACCTTTTTTAGTTGTTTCTTTGGAGAAGGCTCATACACAGAACCCTAAAGGCAGCTTGTATTGATCAACTTACAGTGTGCAATTAGGAACCGATTGGTTCAAGTGCAAAAAATACAATGTACCACCCAAACCTTGAGATTCTTAACAGTTTTTGAGGACACCAGTGTGCACAACCTAGTTTACAACTGATAATGCAGAACTGC